TAAGATTTTGATCAAGGTCCCAAGCAATAATACAATAATGAATTTACATATCAGTTACATAAGATTTAAAATAAAAATTAATAATTGATTTAGGATTTTAATACTCACACCTTTATTAAACTCCTAAATAATTTTCAATTCAAAACATTTCCAAAGTAAAAATAAAAATAAAAATTGGAAAAAGTTTGTACCCCTTAATTTTTTTATAAAAAGATTTCTAATTTTTTAATCTTATATGTATTTATTCATGTAATTTTTCAATTTTTTAATCTTAAAATGTACCCATTCTTAAATATACCAATTTGTCGTGTAAAATGTACCCTTTTTTTTTATATATAAAATCTATTCAATTTTTTTTCTAATCCATTTTTAAACTTATATGGGTACATTCTTTTTCTTGATTTGAGAATGTATTCGTGAGTTTTAACGAAACATTCCTGGTACTGTTCACTTTTAACGAAAATGACATTTTTACTATAAACATGTATTCGTGAGTTTTAACGAAACACTCCTAGTACTATTCTCTTACAACACATTTTTGTCATTTTGATTAAAACTCAAAGTTTTTAAGTTTTCCTTTTGAAGAATGTACCTATATCTTGGTGCAACAATTTTTTTGTTAACTTTGATGAATGTACCCATGTTTAATACATACATACATCTATATATATATACATACATACATCTATATATATATATATATATATATATATATCTACACACACAATATATTGGAGAGTATAATTTATATTTTAATAATTTTAATCCACAAATTATAGGTTTTTTTATTTAAAATCTCATTAATACAAACAACTATAAATTTCAATTTTAATTTAAAAAAATATAGTAACCTACATATAAATACATTATCACATTAATTTCAAGGACTTTGATCAAAAATTGAAAACCAACAAGATTTTAATCAAATAATATTGATAGTTAGGGACCACATCCAAAATGTCTCTTTTCATATTTTGGACTTTATCTTCATGGCCATAGAGCTCATCTCATTCATGTTCTTCGTACTTTCTTTGTTTGGATTTTTATCGGTCATAATGTAGGCAACTTTGAGAAGATTGAGATAGAAAAGGACTTTCCTCTTCCACCTTTTGAAGTGAGCTCTCTTGAAACAGAATGGCTTGTTAAGATCCCAACATTGTCGAACGACTTCTCAGGTACATGTTCTATGATTGAATTTTGTCAAAATTGTAGGGAAAATTACAAGAAAATTGTAATATCCTTCTAAGAAGCATGTAGACAATTAGGCTGAGGCACGGATATCTCACTATCTTTAAGGAGATTTAAGTCCACTGCGGTTTGACAAAAGTTCATAAACCTGCAACAGTATATCTCTTGATTTGTCCCCTCCATAATACAACAACCCAACTAAATTGTGTTTGGCTCAAACTTTTTTGCACAAAAGAGAGAATAGTCCAAAGCTCTATCACAAGAACACATTTCTTTGGCCAATAAATAAAAGATAGAAAGTATGGAGGAATAAAGATTGTAGTTGTGAGGAAATTGGTAGTAGGATCATAGATAAAAAGATAATGGTAAAAATGCAAATAATTATATGTTTATTATCACCCTTAATGAATAAGGTAATAAACACAAATTAACAAAGAACAAAGGTTACAAGAGATACAAAAGATGAAAAGTTAAAGACTCCATCTTAATTTCCCACTAACCACAAATAATGACAAATATACTTACTTTCCCACTAACAACCGAATAATAACAAATATAATTAATTAATTTCATTTAATTTAAAAATAAACCAACATATATATTTCATCCTAGTGAGAAGAATGTACACAGAACAATTAAATCTTAATTTTTTTGCAACAATTTTATCTTACAGAACCGACTGCGAGTCAGGAGGGAGGAGGGGTCAAGTTTGAACTGTGGAGAAAGAATGGAGGAATAAAGATTGTAGTTCCTAAGGAAATTGGTAGTGGGATCATAAATGAAAATATAATGGGAAAATGCTAATAATTATATGTTTATTATCATCCTTAGTGAATAGGGTAATAAATACAAATTAATAAAGAAAAAAAAAAGTTACAAGATGTACAAAAGATGAAAGGCTAAAGACTCCATCTTTTTCCCACAAACCACAAATAATGACAAATAAACTCACTTTCCCACTAACAACCAAATTATGACAATTATAATTAATTTAATTTAAAAATAAACCAACATATATATTTCGTCCTAGCGAGAAGAATGTACACAGAACAATTAAATCCTAATTTTTTTGCAACAATTTTATCTTACAGAACCGACTGCGAGTAGGAGGTTGGAGGTCTGTGGAGATATGGCAACCATGACTAGGACTCTTGGAAGAAGGTTTGTGATTACAAGACGTGAGGAGGATGAGGGAGTAACCAAAACTGAAGCGAAAATAAAATAATCATTAAAGTTGGGGAAAGATATGGTAGTCTTATCTGACATCCATATGTTCGTTGGATAGTTGAATCCGTTAGATCAAATAAATGGTTATGATTTTGTTAAATGCGGATAAATGCATTGATGTTAAATGTAGAGACTCGGAATCCAACTCGAACTATGTGTGATTGACTTGTGGTTTTAATGTGTAACTAGCTTAGAACATCGGCGAAATTTCCCTTGTAGAGAAATACGTTGTAAGAGCACTTCCAGTGTTGGAAGGCCCCCCAAAGCAACTGCCTAGTAAATCCCCTACAATGAATAGTAACTGTCTTTAATAAACAATAATTGCATTTTTCATCTCTACCCCTAAACTGAATAGCCATGACAATAGAAAATAAAATATTAATATTTTTTGCTTTATAAAATAATAAAAAATATTTTTATTTGTAATTTCAAATATGATTTTTAATCGGTCTCGTTGCCCCATGTGTCATTAAATAAAAAATTACAACCCAAAGTGTTTGAGAAAATTTAAAATTGTGGTGTAAGGTGAAGTTAATAATAAGATATTTATAGAAAAATTAAATCATTTTTTTTTAATTTTTAATTTTTTTTTTCTGATTTTTTATCAATTTTATAAGCTGGTTGAAGTCATCCTAACGTCAATTTTATATCAGCGCGCTCTCAGGCGCTCGGGCTTTGGATTCGTGCCTCTCCTCTCACACGGCCCCTCCTTAGCCTAATTGCCCGCATGGGCTGAAGCACGAAGGGAAGGGGATTGGGTTGAATTGGTCCCCTATCCACAGGGCTATCAGCTCCGCTGGAGCTGCTCTAAAGCCAACAACAGCTTAACTTTCTTGGCTAAAGCAAAGTCTTATCTAAACAGCGCTAATTAAACCCCGACAACTACTAACTTTGCTTTTCAAAGTCATAAAAAAGGCTGGATGCTAATTATGAAGTACCAACAACGACTCAAAGCAATATTTTGGTCCTATTTTCTATGCTCTTACACTTTATTTATACAACTCACCCCCTCAGCTTATTGAAAGAAGGAATGATGAGTTGTGTAGTATCCATTTCTATTTCTATAAGAACTCAGAGGTTGGCTTCCTCGTGGGAAGATCCTAACTTTTTTTTCTTTTCAACATGTTTGTGGGATAACTCTCTCTTGCTCTTGGCTAAGAAAATGGAAAAGCTATTCTCTCTCTCGGTGTTAATTAATCAAGGCACAATCCCTATTTTCTGCTTGCCCTCACTCTCGGTGACAAGCTCTTGGCTTGCACACCTTTCCTTTTCAGCTCAGTCTCATGTATCTAGAGAGCATATGGTCGAAAATATCTCTAACCACCCAAGCTTGACTATCTCACACAATTATCTCTAACCATTCAACTTCTTTGTGTGGTGTGGAAGCTTGACCGTCTCACACAATTATTGTCTTCTCCCATCAACTTTATTAAAGGTGAGACTTTTCCAACTCATACACACGATAAAGGAAACCAGAGTGTTATGTCACTTCTGTAAAAGCTTCTTTTTATTGAATATGATTAATTTAGTACAACTAATTAGATTATCTTCAAATAAGACATCAAATTTTAAATTTAAAAGTTTATGTGATAATTTGGCATCTTTTAAAATTTTAATCTTCATCTCATATGTTAAATTGAACTATTATTTTATCACATTATTTTCTTTTTATAATTTTTATTTTATATTTATATTTTACAAATCCCACCCCACCTCTTCGAAGGTAAGAATTTTTCCAAAAAAACAAAGGAAACAACCCAGATAAGAATTATCGGTTTTCCTCTTCAAAGGTTCAATTTTTCATTTGCTGCAGAAGCACTAACCAATATGGAATTCAGAAACCCAGTATTTAAAAATAAAAACCCAAAAAGCTAAGCAAAAGATTAATATAAAATTAAAATACAAAATCAAATCCCCAATCGGATGAACAGATATGAAACCCTAGAAAAACCAGAGGAGGATTAGGGGATTGGTAAAATAAAAGATGGGATTTTGGTAAGCCTAGAGGTACTGAGGAAACCAACTATTGGGTAGTATCGGCGAATCAGAAAATAGGGGAAGAAGTAGGAGCTCGGCGAAGAAGAATATTGTATCGGCAAATCAGAAAATGGGAGAAGAAGTAGGAGCTATGCGAAAGAATATTTGACGTTGCTGACAAATTTGACAGTAAGGATGTGGGCCGCTATTCCATATCATGCCACATCAGATTTAGCTTCTCGGTTGGAAAATTTTATTGCTGCTTTTTATGACTGTAGAAGCTAATTTGGACATTTTGACAGTTTTTGAAAAATGCTCTTACATACAGTACCACTCCTAACTACATACAGTTAAAAAAAAAAAAAACTATTTGCAGTTACGATTTGGCATCCTCCTTAATACACTATTAGTTTTCTAGGCTGTCACACGCATGTTTTCTTTGAAGGTAATGTTGGGAAGACTAAATTTCTATACTAAATTTTAAAAATTAAAGGATAGAGAAATTGATACTGATTTATTACTTAAACGTTGATAAACGTGCTTATTTCTATTAATGATACATTCTTTAGTCTAAAAATTTAATTTCCTTAACATTAGTCTTTCTTTAAACATCTTTGGCTTCATCATTCACGCATACAACTTGAACATTATATTTCAACATTCAGTTCCTCCATCAATTGTGTGAGTTGTGTCTAAACAGACATGGGAACGGGATTGGGGTCTTCATGGTTTAGCTTGATTTTTATAGGTTGTATTATTTTGCTTTTGCTCAATGCTACTCACTGTGTTTCGTTTGTGCAAACACTTTCGCATTTCGCTGAGTGCTCTGCCTTGTTTCAATTCAAGGAAAGCCTTACGATTAATATGTCTGCTTCTGATGATCCATCTGCTTATCCGAAGGTTGCATCTTGGTCGCAGGAAGATCAAGTTGATCGGAATCGGAGTAACTGTTGTTCGTGGGATGGTGTTGAGTGCTATGAGGAGTCTGGCCATGTCATTGGCCTTGACCTCGCCAGCAGCTGTCTATATGGTTCTATCACTTCCAACAGCAGCCTCTTCCGACTTCTTCACTTGCAGAGGCTCGACCTCTCAGATAATCACTTCAACTTCTCTCCAATACCGTCAAGATTAGGCCATGATCTTACGAGCCTAACATATCTCAACCTTTCTCAGTCGTCTTTTTTTGGCCAAATTCCATCTAAAATTTCCAAGTTGTCCAAACTGTCTACCCTGGATCTGTCTTACAATGAAATACTGATAAAGGCCAACCTGAGAAGCCTAGTCCAAAACTTGACCAACATAAAACAGCTTCACCTTAGCTGGGTAGACATATACTCCACTGTGCCTGATGTATATAGAAACAGAAAATATCACAGTAAAAAATGATTCACATTCCTTGAATAATTACACAGTACACTTGAGTATATATAGGTAGAAACCTAATGCATTAATACTCTTAATACCCTTAGCTCCTATAACTAATTACAGAAAAACCACAACTGAAATGTAACAATTTTAGCTAACTGACAGCTTGCTGATCTCTTTTAGTATCTGCCTTAATACTCCCCCGCAAGCTGAGCGTGGGATCGACCATGGAACCAAGGGGAAGCTTGGATTTAAGATAACGGAACCGACTGGTGGACAAAGACTTGGTGTGAATATCAGCCAATTGATCTTGACTACAGATAAACTGAACTTTGAGAAGCTTAGCCAAGACTAATTCACGAATGTAGTGATAGTCGATTTCAATATGTTTAGTCCGGGCATGAAACACCGGATTAGAAGCTAGAGAGATGGCAGAAATGTTGTCACACCAGAGAGTGGGAACGTGGGAAAGAGAGAAGTTAATGTCACGGAAAATTTTACAGATCTATGTAATTTCAGCAGCAGTGTGAGCTAGAGAGCGGTATTCAGCTTCAGTAGAGGAGCGGGCAACAGTAGGTTGTTTCTTGGCACTCCAACTGATAAGATTAGAACCCCAAAAAACACAATAACCATTGGTGGAACGACGATCAAAGGGACAACCTGCCCAGTCTGCATCGGAGAAGGCAGTAAGGGTGAGAGAACCCTTTTTGAACCAAAGACCTTCAGATATAGTACCTTTGAGATAGCGAAGAACACGTTTTGCAGCCTGCAAGTGTTGGTCCCGAGGAGCATGCATGAACTGGCAGATTTGATTGATTGTAAACGAGAGGTCAGGACGAGTCCATGTTAAGTATTGCAGACCACCAACAAGAGACCTGTACTCAGTGGGATTGGAAAGAAGAGGACCCGTGTGATCAAGTTTGGTGGAACCAAGAGGAGTGCAGCAAGGCTTAGCACCATCCATGTTAGTTTTACGCAGAAGATCCAGTAAGTATTTGGTTTGGTGAAGAAAGAGACCTTCAGCAGACCGATGAACCTCTAATCCCAGAAAATAGTGCACGGGACCAAGATCCTTAACTGGAAAAAGAGTACTGAGTACACGCAGAAGAATTGGGGCCGGTGACTAAGATGTCATCGACGTAAACAAGAACAATAACCGGAGATGGACCGTTAAGAACAAATAATGACGCATCAGAAGAAGATTGCACAAATCCAAATTGAAGGAGAGCTTGAAAAAGTTTGTCAAACCAAGCACGGGGAGCCTGTTTGAGGCCATACAGAGATTTGCGCAATTGACAGACATGGTGAGGCTTGCTAGGATCAATGAAGCCAGGGGGTTGCTGCATGTACACATATTCCTTTAAATCCCCATGAAGAAAAGCGTTACTGATATCTAATTGGTTCAAAAACCAATTAAATTGCACGGCAAGGGATAGAAGGACACGAATGGTGACTGGTTTAGCCACAGGACTAAAGGTCTCTTGAAAATCAATGCCTTCTTGTTGGTGAAACCCCTTGGCAACCAAGCGGGCTTTAAATCTTTCAACAGTACCATCAGACTTCTTCTTTACCCGAAAGACCCACTTGCAACCGATAACATTGTGAGTAGGAGAAGGAGGTACTAACGTCCAGGTGCCTGTAGATTGCAAGGCATTAAATTCATCTTGCATAGCCGAGCGCCAATGAAGGTGTTTAGATGCCTGGAGATAAGTAGTGGGGACAACATCAATATCCAATGGAAGGGGATGCTTGGTAGCTGCAAAAACTTTAGGCTTGTATATTCCAGCTTTGGAACGAGTCACCATGGGGTGAAAATTACTGGGAGGTACTTGCGATGAGGAAGAACTGGACGAGGCAGGATGCGAGACTGCACCAGGAGGATCAGAAGAAGGATGAGGTAGGGATGCTTCAATAATGGATCCGGAAGATGGAGAGGTGGAGGAGAGTCTCGAAACTGGAATAGAGAAATGTAAATCCATAGAAGAAGAAGAAGTAGAGTCTTGGATTGCAGCAGCGGGTGGAGAGATTGTGTGAAATGGATAAGCAGATTCATCAAACTGCACATGGCGAGAGATATATATCCGTCCAGTTTGAGGATCAAGACATCGGTAGCCTTTGTGTTGTAAACTGTACCCCAGAAAAATGCAACTTTTACTTTTAGAATCCAACTTGGAATGAACATAAGGCTTAAGCCATGGGAAACAACGACAGCCAAAGACCTTCAATCGGGAGTAATCAGGAGGTTTGTGGAAGAGTATTTCCCAAGGAGATTGAGATAGTCCAGAAATTGGCAACCGATTGATAAGATACACAGCTGTGGAGAATGCTTCCACCCAATGAATATGAGGAACATGAGATGCAACAAGTAAAGTACGAGCAGTCTCCACAATATGGCGATGCTTCCTTTCAGCACAACCATTCTGTTCAGGGGTATGAGGACAACTTAATTGGTGGACAATACCATGAGAACGAAGAAATGACCGAAATAGAGTACTAGTAAATTCACCTCCAGAATCTGAGCGAACAATTTTGATTTTATTATCAAGTAAGGTCTCTACATACTGTTTGAATACAACGAAAGTAGAATAGGCATCAGACTTGGCCTTTAAAGGAAACAACCAACTATAACGACTATAGTCATCAACTAACAACATGTAATACTTGAAACCACTAGGTGAGATAACATTGGTAGGACCCCAAAGATCACAATGAAGCAGTTGAAGACTGTGACTTGTAGTAGAACTTGCAGATCCAAATGGAAGTTTATGGTTCTTGGCTAGAGCACAGTCTGAGCAGAAGAAATCCACAGTGGTTTTGCCGAGTACAGCAAGATTATTTCTGGAGAGAACTCTGCGAAACAGTGAAGACGATGGATGACCCAGTCTGCGATGCCAAATCTTCAGAGGAGCTTTAACACTAAGGAAAGCCGATGGTGAAGTTGATGGTGAAGGAAGGACAGTGGTATTGAAACCGTGGAGGGGATAAAACCCATCTTCAACTCGGCCCCGCAAAAGCATCTTCCCCGAAGCACGATCCTTTACAGTAGATCCATCAGGGTCAAGAGTTATAGAACAATCATTGTCTTTGAGAAATTGATAAGCAGACAGTAAATTGTGCTTCATATGTGGAACATGTAGTACATTACTCAACGTGAAGGCAGTATGAGGAGTATGTAAATATGAAGAACCAACATTTTTAATGCACAAACCTTTACCATCTCCGACGTAGACCTTGTCTTCACCAGTGTAGGGAGAGGAGACAGAAAGATTAGCAATATCATTGGTAATATGTGATGTAGCTCCAGAGTCCAGTAGCCAAGATGGAGAGGGTTTGGAAGAATAATGAGCACATAAAGCAGCAAGTTTGGCTGGTGGTACCCTGCCAAAGATGTCAGGATTCATTCTGTCAAAGCAGTCAATAGCTTCGTGGCTAGTGGAACCACAAATTTGACATTGAGTGTTGGTGCCAGAAGAGGAGGAAAAGCCGGAATAATTGGACTTAGAGCCGTGAGGATAATTCTGAGAACCACGAGGATTGCCATTAAAGAAGCCACGATTGGTATTGCGATTGCGATTGCTTCTGTGGAAGGTGCGATTCTGTCTCCCACGATTAGAGTTGTAACGAAAAGAAGATTGGAGTGGTGGAGGATATGCAGGCGTAGGCAATAAAGGAGCCTGAGACTGAGCAGAGAATACCTGAAATGGCTCAGTAACAGAAGAAGAACCAGTGTGTTTGCGACGAGCTATGGATAACTCTTTAGTAAGTAGCAGGCCATGTAATTCATCAAGAGAGGTAGAAGACAATCGAAGCATTATTGAGTCAATGAAAGACTCGAATTCATCAGGGAGACCATGAAGTGTCGCTGCAATTAGGTCTCGATCAGAGATAGGAGCACCAGCGGCAGTGAGAGAATCAGAAATTTCCTTGATTTGTTGAAGATACTCAGAGATCGATTGATGACCTTTCTGAATAGAGTGCAGACGAGAGCGAAGCTGATGAACATGCGCATCAGAGACGCCACCAAAACGTTGTTCAAGTTTCTGCCAGAGCTCTCGAGATGTAGACACTCCAACCGTGAAGGGAATGAGATCTTCAGAGAGTGTCGAGTTCAACCAGATCAACAGATTTTGATCTTTCTCAAACCACTGCTCAAACTCTGGATTCATAGAGCGATCAGGGAGAAGAGGAGCCGGACATGGCTCAGTACCATCAATGAGACCAAGAAGCTTGTAGCGACGCAGAATAGGAGCAAACAAGGCACGCCATGGGAGATAGTTGGTGCGCTTGAGCTTGATAGGAACCATACTGCCGATGTTCTGAATCGTAAGAGACAGATACGAATTTTGGGGATTAGGGTTTGGTAATGGTGGTGACGCCATCGAAGATGAAGATTCAGAGGTGGATGCCAGGATGAAAAGTAACAGAAATTACAGATCGAAGACAGAGATCGATCGAGAAATTGGAAGAGAAATCGATCAAGAAATCGATCAAGACGAAGAGCGGAAGAAGATCGAGGCGGTGGGTAAGGGAGAGCCGTGAGGCGGTTGGCAACTTGATACCATATAGAAACAGAAAATATCACAGTAAAAAATGATTCACATTCCTTGAATAATTACACAGTACACTTGAGTATATATAGGTAGAAACCTAATGCATTAATACTCTTAATACCCTTAGCTCCTATAACTAATTACAGAAAAACCACAACTGAAATGTAACAATTTTAGCTAACTGACAGCTTGCTGATCTCTTTTAGTATCTGCCTTAATAATGTATTGGTCAATGCATCTTCTCTCACATCTCTCAAACTTGTACACTGTGGTTTGTATGGGGAATTCCCTATTGGCCTTTTTCACCTACCTAACTTAGAGGTTCTTTATGTGTCCAGGAACTTAGACCTAATAGGTTATTTTCCAAACTTTAACAGGACCAATTCCTTGAAGGAGTTAAAAGTTGGGTATTGAAGCTTCTCCGGTCAACTGCCTACCTCTCTCGGAAGCCTTCATTCCTTAAATCTATTGGGCATCTCTTTCTGTAACTTTTATCCCCATGTTCCATCTTCACTCAGGAACCTTACCAAGCTCAGGTATCTTGACATTTCTTCATTTTATGATTCCATGTATTTTCCTGGCAAAAGTTCTTTCGCAACAACAAACCAATCTCTGGTATCCGAATCCTTGTCTTGGCTTGGAAAACTAACCAAACTTTATCACTTGGGCCTTTCGCATACCAACCTAAGGGGAAAATTCCCATGTTTTGTGTCCAACCTGACCAACATTCAATATCTAGATTTGGGCGGTAATGAAATAACTGGTCAAATCCCATCTTGGGTTACAATGAATTTGACCCAGTTAACTGTTCTAGATCTTTCCTTTAATAACTTGAGGGGATCAGTTGAGTTTGATCAATTTTCCAACCTCAAGAAGTTAGAGGATCTTCGGTTATCAGACAACGAGTTATCTCTACGGATCAAATCCAATTTGAGTGCTACTCTTCCTATGTTCCAAATTCTGTGGCTGTCTCGGTGCAACTTAACAGTGTTTCCTGAATTTTTAAGTAATCAAAAGGAATTGTACGACCTACACCTTTCTGATAACAACATGCATGGCCAAATACCAAAATGGTTCTGGAATGCAACTACAGATACGTTGTTGAATGTTGACTTCTCTAGAAACTTGTTAACCGGTTTTGACCAAAATCCACTCATTCTTCCATGGAAAAATATGTTGTATTTTGGTATATCGTCCAACAGGTTACAAGGATCACTGCCTCTGCCAGTTCCGCCACAATCAATCACAGCTTATGATGTCGCAAACAATGATTATAGTGGAGAAAGTTCACCTTTGTTTTGCTACTTGGATAATCTACAACTTCTTGACTTGTCCAACAACAACTTGAGTGGCATGCTTCCGCAATGTTTGGGGAACTCCTCTACATTGGAAATACTGTACCTAAGGAACAATTCTTTCCATGGCAATATTCCTCAAATGTGTGCAAACAAAAATAGTTTGAAAATGGTTGATTTAAGTTTCAATCAGTTGCAAGGAAAGCTGCCAAGAACAGTGGCCCATTGCACTCAGTTAGAGTTTCTCAATCTTGGAAACAATCGCATTAGCGACAGCTTCCCATCTTGGTTAGGGGCACTTCCAGTATTAAGGGCTCTCATTTTGCGGCATAATGGATTTCATGGCATAATTGGGAAGCCTGCAACCAACCACGAGTTCCCCAACTTGTGCATCATTGATCTATCTAACAATGATTTTTCCGGTATGTTGCCCTCAAATTACCTACAGAACTGGAATTTCATGAAATTTGTTAGTGAAACCAATCAAACTTATTTTAAAGTCTCTGCAACCGGCAACCCAGATAAAATCTGGTATGAGTATCCATACACCATCACGATTGTTGCAAAAGGTGTTGAGTTGAAATATTTGGAGACACCTTATCTTTTGAGACTCATTGATCTCTCAAGTAATAGATTTGAAGGTGAGATTCCGGCAGGTATAATTGGGAATCTAAGAGGCCTTCATTTTCTAAGCCTTTCCAACAACTCTCTCACGGGTCCCATCCCCTTATCTCTAGGGAACTTGACAGCTCTTGAATCATTGGATCTCTCTGAAAACCAGCTCTCAGGAAGGATCCCTAGCAATTTGGTACAACTCAATTTTCTTGCATATTTCAACGTATCCCACAACCGTCTTTGGGGGCCTATACCACTTGGTCAACAGTTTGATACATTCCTAGAAGATTCATACCAAGAAAACCCGGGTTTGTGTGGAAAGCCTTTGTCAAAGAAATGCAAGGATTCTGGGAGCACAAAGCTACCACCACCATCAATCTTTGAAGAAGGTGAAGATTCGGGATTTCGATTTGAGTTTGATTGGTACGTGGTTCTGCCCGGAGTCATTAGTGGACTAATAGTTGGAGTGATTTCTGGGAACACTTTGGCAAACAACAAGCATGAATGGTTTGTGGATACATTTAGCAGGAAGAGGCAGCCAAGAGGCACAAAGGGAAAGGGACGCCGGACTTGGTCATTATTTTATCCATGAAATGTTTGGCTCTTCAAGGCCAATTCAGGTACTTGCTTTTTATTCAATAAGATTTCTCTCGCATTGTCATCGAGGGTTTCCTTAAAAATATTAATTCTAACTTGTGATGCATGCTAGGTTTTAATAAGTGTAACATTTATAACATTTATTTGTGAGAGTTGTATTATATTTCTAAGTGGTGAATATCTAAAATTATATTTCTAACTGAGTAGTGAGTACCCAAAATTTTACTGCATGCACCTTTTTGCATTGCTGCCTTAGGGGTGGTTTGGGAGTGAGGTGCTTAAAAAAAAAGCACCTATGAAAAAAAGTTGTGAGGGTTTTAGGTGTTTGGTAAACTGAAAAAAAAGGGCTTATTTTGGAAGCTGTTGTGAGAATAAGCTGAAATCAAATGAAAAAGTTGAAGCTGCTATTTGCAGCTTTGGAAAATTGGCTTTTTTTCAAAGCACACGGAGCTATAGTGCTCCTTTAATGAAAAGACCCACTATCAAATTTTTTTTTTTTTCAAAAGCACTTTTACAAAAAAATTTACCAAACACTCTGCTGATTTATTTCACAGCCGCTTATTCTCACAGCACAGCCGCTTATTCTCACAGCAGCTTTTTTTCAAAGCACAACAATACCAAACCAGCCCTTAGTTTGCCACCAGAAGGTTTTTGGCAACCTTAATCAGGAAGTTGCCTGTCCGAAAGTAACTTAGAATAAATTAAAACATGACAACTGAATCGAAACTAACATGCTTGCATATACAGTCACTAGGAATGCCTTTATGTTTTTCTTTTCTTTTGAGAAAAATGGGATTCATTTTAAATGCATTATTGGTCACATGATTATGGAGTACGTACTTACACAAACTACAGCATAGCTGGCAGCTTGCTTTTTTTATCAATTGCTAGAAGAATAGTTGAAGCTGATGAATTTATGAGGGCTAGCTTATATGATGGATGGCTTCCTAATTTGTATCACTACCATATTCGATTCTTCATTAATCCATTCATGATATATAAATTATAAATTTCATTCATCTCTTATAATCTATTGATTTGTCCATTTTATTATTGCAGGTTTGTCGAAAACTTGCTTAAAGAGTAGACTGTCGATGTGATTGAAGTTGGTCGTATTAGTTTTGCATAATGTTATTTTCCTGGTTACATTTGTTCAATCTTAAGCTTGGTTCATTTGATTATGGTTGCATCATGATGTATAAAACATGTAATATATGTAAATAGCATTGTAAAAATTATCATCTCTCTATAAATAACACTATAAATAGTATCATCTCTCTGTCTATAATCATATTATATATGTACAATAGTATCACCTTAAATGGTTTTAAACCCCGCAGCACCGCCTAAAATTTTCATCTATAAATTAGTATATAGAATAAAATCATAAAAAATTTATAACATATTTTCATTTGGCTAAAGTTGTTGAAACCATGTGTTCGGTGTGTGTTATGGTTTGATTATGCCATGCGATTCCAAAACCCAATTTCAAGGTTTGGGGCAATTTTGATTGAATTTTTTAGGGTTTTAGAGTGGTAGACAAAGGCATGTGATTCCAAATCCCTTTTCCCAATACCCGCATAAATTAATCACAACCAACCTGTTCGATCCAAGGCAAGAACATTCCCTTAAACTAGCTAGTGAAGCAGAATAGCAATTTACAAGCCAAAACTTTCTTTCTTGTGACATGAACTAGGGGTGGGCACGGGCCGGGTCGGGCCCAATTTTGAAGGGACCAGACCGGACCCGGGTTTAAAGTAAACGGGCCGGGGATAACATTTTTTAAGATAGGAACCAGACCTTACCCGGCCCGGTTGAAACGGGCCGGGTCCACGGGTCTTTTTTTTTGATACAATTCAATCAATTTAATCCAAATACAATGTCCACATAAACAAAATAATGGACTTCATGAGTAACCTAAAAGCCCAAACAGACACCTAACCCTAAAGCTAAAGGTTTTCTTCCAGCATATTCTTCGATATCACCGCAGCTCCTTCGACGATCTCGAAACACCACCACCGTTGCTCGACATCTCTGCCTCCCTCTGCCAAGGCCATGCCGTCGCCGTCCTCTCCTTCGACCATGAATCCCTCAAGCCCCTGGAGTCCCAATCTTAGGAATCCTGACCCCTAAACTCCTCCAGCCTGTGCCCAGCCCTATTTCAAACGTAGACTAGTGAATAACATAAATCCATGATAAATAAAGCAGAAAACTTATGAACCTAAATTCAAGAACAAAACATGAGCGCTAATACCACCAGAAAACTCATGACCTTACCCACCAATTAAAGCCAAAGAGAAGAGTATATAAACTTAACCTTCAGTCAATCATAACACTAGGTAATCAATAAAATCAGAGAAGAAGATTAAGAAACTTACGACATCCAAAGGGGAAAGATTTTAACGAAGCTACTCCAAAAGGGTTGCAAGACATATTTGGCAGTGTAAGAGTGATCCACGCCACTGTACTTGTATTTATGCAAAATCCAAATCAAGCTTCGATTTTGCATTTCGAAACAAAATGCAAATAAGCCTCAGTATAACCAACCTGCTACCAAAACGAACTGAAATAACTCAATCCACGCATCTGAACAAACCCATCACTGAATACAATCATACATGCTTGTACACTTGCCCCCCCTAGATAATTGGATCAACATAAAAATCCAAATTCAAATTTTTGTGATTCAACACATTAATCATCTCATCTGGGTAATGCCCAGAATGCAGAAACAATGAAAGAATACAACCCAGTAGATATTTTCTCCAAAACAGAAAGAAAACATCCAAAGATCTAAACTTTGTGAATAAAATTAAGTACCCAAAGAAAATGGGTGGATGGGATGGTAGATATATATGATGCATGGATCTAAATTCACAAAATAAACTGCAAGTCAGACAGATGAAGCAGATCAGAGAAATGCGAGAAGAACAAACAAAATCTAAATTTAAATTAAAAAAAAACGTTTACCTGTTTGAGACTTGAGATTATTGGTTCAACAGAGAAAGGGGGTTCTTCTGCAAATGAGCGGCTGGCCGAAAACAATAAAGAAAACATCAACCCACTCACACTCTACTTTTACCTAGTCTTCTCTCTAACTGCCTCCCTCCCACGTACAGACGCTGAGTTGAAAATTCAGTTGCCGAAAATCAAAGACCAGCCGCGGAGCAACGAAACCCGATCTCTCCGCTCACCCGGACCAGATCGCAGGGAGGTGAGAAACGGAAACCCGACCCAGATCCTCCGCTCATTCCACCGTGTCCAAAACCTCTTGATCGAGCTCCCGTCGGAGTTGCACAGATCAGAGACAAAGGCGTTTGGAGAGAGTGAGAGTTAATCGATAAACCCTAAAAATTTAAATAGTTACCTGAAATTATTAACAGCTCAAGCGCGGGATTGTAGGAAAGAGAGAAGGGCGTGGACGGCGGCTTTTGGCGCAGCTGGTGATGCTTTGTGGACGGCGGCTTGTGGCGCAGATGGTTTACTGCGGGTGAGCTGGGTATATGCCTGGTTATTCTTTGTGAAGGTTTAGGGTAGGTGAGATAGGAGAGAGAGAGAGAAAAAGAGAGACTGTGGGAGAGAGAGATCGAGAATAAGGAGATCGAGAGGGAAGAGATCGAGAGAGATCGATGGAGGAGACAATAGAGGGTGAGGATCGAATTAGGTCTGAGAATAAAAGAGACGGTAATAGATAATAAAGGGTAATCACAGTAGGCTATGAACGGTCCGGGCCAGGGGCCCGTTTCCTCCAATCTTTAGAACCAGCCCGCCCCGTTATTTATCTAGAACCGACCCGCCTCGCCCCGCCCCGTTTTGTATTTGTAATTCTTGGACCTAACCTGTAGGTCCAGGACCCGTTTGCCCACCCCTAACATGAACCTCAAGACTGCCGGACATTTATAGGCCATAGTCAAAACACAGATATCTTAAGATATTAGTATAATTTGATGTCCTATCTTGGTAATGATACACACTAGATCTCCTTGTCGCAGATAAGTTGAAAAGTGATTGTTATACCTGTGGTTGGATTTTTTATTCTAAGCAGACTGAATCAAGCCAGACATCAGATCATCGACATAGATTAAAAAATCATCCCCTAGGAGCCTACAGAGTTTCGCCAACGCCTTGTAAATGGGATTTGAGAAATTGGGTTACTTGTTGAATATTGTTGTACCCTGCCATCGCCTCTTTCGCAAAATCCCATTTGGGGGTTAAGGTTCTTTGAGCTGAGGGTTGGGCGAGAGAGATTTTCAAAGAAATATGCAAGAGGCATTTTTGCATCACGGTCCAGAGGCATTTTTGCATCATGGTCCAAAGACATTTTTGCATCATGGTCCAGAGGCATTTTTGCATCACGGCCGCTACGCACCCTAAAAATGTGTTGCTTTTGATATTCTTATATTTCTTAAGTGATTACTAAAAATAAATCCAATCCCATTGCCAAAGGAGTTGGCCTCGTCCAACTATTTAGGCAAAAACTTAAAATGTAATTGAAATAGAGAGACTCTCTCAAAATGGGGATTAGATGCCCCCTTAATCGCAATTGAAAATTTACATGTCCTATCCTAGAATGCCATAAATTAGACGAATCAACAATATATACAAAATCATTATTTATTTCATTCATAGCATTAGCAAGTACATTTAGTTTGAATAATCCATCAGCAAGGTAACCCTTCCCTACAAACATTCCCCCTTTAGTTAATACAAACTTATTGGACTAAAAAACTAGTTAGAATCCCCTGTTACTAAGGATAGGACCATAAACAAGATTCTTCCTTATATCAGGGACATGCAGCACATCAAGGAGGGTTAATTCCTTTCCAGAAGTGAATTTAAGAACACATTTCCCTATTCCAGCCACAGATGCAGATGCATTTCCCATAAACAACTGCTCGTTCCCCTCGACTTTCTAGTACGAAGAGAACATATTTCTGTCACCACATACATAGTGAGTCACGCCAGTATCTATCTACCAATCATGTTTGGGCGGTTGTTGTTGCTTTGATTTCCAGGACCTTGATCCCTTCGATAGCGACATTCTTGAGCCCTATGTCATTGCTTTCCTCAAACCCAGCAACTTCCCTTAATTTTCTTGAACTCCTTGCCTTTCACCCCAGGGGCATAGTTCTTTTCCTTCTTCTTAGTTTTCTGGAATTTCGGTATTTACTTTGATGAACTTCCTTCAACAACATTCGTCTTGGCTTCCATACTCGAAACCAAACCTTTCTCATTCTTTATGTTATCTTCCTCAATTCTCAGCCTTATGATGAGATCCTCAAGAGTCATCTCTTTATGTTTGTGCTTGAGATAATTCTTAAACTCTTTTCAAGAAGGTGGCAGTTTTTTTATAAAAGACGCCACTTGAAAGGACTCATTGATCACCATCCTTTCTACATGAATGTTGTTGGTACCATATATTGGGCATCGTCTTTAGACCTCATCCATAAGCCCATGATTTATGTAAAAGGGGAGGGAACCCTTATTCTATAAAAAAGACTCTCCCTCACCCTCATAAATGGAACCTGACCTTCACAGAATGACAGATAGTCTCACACTCAACCCTCACAACAATAGAGGGCAATACCTTATCAGCCAAACAGAAAGCAAAATGGCAAGGGCTACATCCACATAGAGCTCCTTTGCCGATCTATTGTAATCCATACATTCATATAGTGAATCAGAATCAACATCAGTGTGGACGTAGCCCAAACATTGGGGTGAACCACGATACATCTTTGTGTTCTTGTGCGTTTGTGTGATTAAATCTGCCAGATTTTGTGCATCAACATTTGGCGCCGTCTATGGGAAACGACACAAAAAACTATGTCGGTTCTCTTTCATTTTTTTTCGTCTCACCATAATATCCACTATGAATCTACAGAAACCCAAGAACCAAACACCTGCAGTCACCACAAAACCCATCTTTCAAAAACGCAGAAACGAAAAATCCTAAACTCAACCACAGTTTCTTCTCTCTCATCTCTCTGTCTTGTAGTCCCTCTCTAGTTTCTTTTTCCCCCTAAATCCTCCCAGATGAGCCTCTTGTGGCTGTAGCTCAAGGTTTTATTGTTAGGTGAAATCTCTCCAGCAGAAGAAGCAAAGATGATGAACATGTGCGGTTACGAGCATAGTTCCATGGTAGGCTATGAGATGATGGATTCAGTTGGTGCCCAAAACCACGTCGTTTGAGCCTTCTAACTTCTTCCTTGGACGACAACATCAGACCCTTCAGATACTTCAATCACAACCAATCGGAGATTGGAAATTCTGAAGCTAGGTTTGAGATCAGAGTTTTTGACCCCTACCTGTTATTCTGTCACAATCCCATCGTCGCATGCGTTGAGCTCTACGACGCCATCACCGTCATCGACCAGCTGATCCAATGCTACATCTCTGGTGCTCTTTTCGGATCTCAGCTTGCCAACCTTAACCACCATGCTGGCTTTTTGAACTTCACTCCTGGCTCTGATCTTTCCCGCACTGTCCTTCTCTTCCCTTGTTTTCCAAACGCCAGCGACGGCGAGATAAAGGTGGCGAATATCATGATTCATCTTCCTCACATGATCTCTGAATTGGAGACTCTACTTCCAATTCCACTCAAGCTCATCTGGGGATGCAAGGGAAATAGATATGTATTCGCCCTGAAGAACGACGGATGCACTTCCACTTTGCGTCGTCTGATTGGACCTGATTTTTTGTGTTCACTGCAACTCTGGGCTTTTCTGGCTCACCGGCCTTCGACGGCTAAGGCTCCGCCGCCGCCCCTGGTCCCTAATGCAGTCAAGAAGGAAACTTCTAGCCCTGATACGCCGCTGTGCTTCGAGCCCAGTGAATCTGATGAGAAGCAGCCTGACCACTTGAGTAGTTAAACTCTTTAGTAAAAAAAAGTAAGAGAAATGACTGGATTACTATTGTTTGTACCATACTTGACCAATCCCGAAACTACCAAGCACCGGTCAACTTTATACCGTCAAGGACCCAGAAGAGTTTCCCTCCAACCAGGAGGCCAATCATAGCGCAACACGTGTCAACACTAAGAGGCCAATCACAGGGTGACACGTGTCAACATCAAAGGCCAATCACAGCATGACACGTGTCAAGGCCAGAATAAAGTTAGAAACTCTATTCTATAAAAGGAGATCATTCTCTTGTATAAAAGGAGATCATTCTCTTCTATAAAAGGAGATCATTCTCCCACAATAATCTCTAATGTCATTTGTACTAAATCATTCACTAATACTCACTAAAGCAGAGCTTGAACCTATGTACTTGTGTAAACCCTTCACAATTAATGAGAACTTCTCTACTCCGTGGACGTAACCAATATGGGTGAACCACGTACATCTTGTGTTTGCTTCCATGTCCCTATCCATTTACATTCTTATCCACACTAGTGATCGGAGCAATCTAGCGAATGTCACAAACTTAACACTTTCTGTTGTACCAAAGTCCTCACTGATTTTGTGCATCAACAACTATCGTGGACAAAAGTAACGATTTCAAAGATGTTAGCCACAGTTCCACTGCTAGAGCAATGATGGACGAACAGAGAAGATAAGAACTTTATTATCACAACCTGCAACTGTCGACCACCAACATGGAAAAAGATAAGCACTTTATCTTTGGGCTGATTTGTTTAAAATTATCATTTTATTATTTAATAGTTTATTATTATCTTGTGTTGATGGATGCTTTACAATGTGCATATGCTTTACAAAATGCTTGTCTGCAATCTTTCTTACAATTATTTTATTAATTAATATTTTATTATTGCATCTTTAATCATTTCTGACTTCATTATTTAAAGTGGTAAGGTAAAACTTTATTATACAATATTATTGGCCTAGAGTATTGTGACTGCCATTAAACTATGTCACTTATACAACATGTAATTTACCACACGACTGAATAAATTATTTATTTATAGAAGGCACATAGTACAATATTTTGCCTTGACAAACTTTGTCAATTTGACTTATTCATTATACGGTCATACTTATATTGTCATTTATTGTCAGAAATTATTGAGCAACTAGATCCACTGATCGACATTGTTGCTGATTAAATAAGCCTACCGACACTATTGATCAGCCTATGGATCACTGAGCCATATACTTATAGCGACAAATATTTAGTCCGAACAATGATCTCTTGTCTAACCCGACAAGCGGACCCGAGTCATGTCGAGAATCAACTCATACTGAGTGCATGTCAACATAAAGTAGATACTTGCAATAAGGAATACCACGAGCCGAGCCGCCTCGCATTGAGCATAGCCTCTAGCCGAGCAGCCTCACAACGAGCATCGCTTCCATCCGAGCAACCGCCTCATCGCGAGCATAGCCTCTAGCCGAGTAGCCTCGCAACGAGCATCGCCTTCAGCCGAGCAGTCTCGTAACTTGTGATACCTCTAGCTGAGTATTGCTTTATGTTGAGCATTGCCTTGTATTGAGTACTAGTTCTAGACGACATCTAGTCACTTCGGCCCCGTACATGGATTGGATTTGAAGTCTCCAGCCAAAAGACTCTCTTGACTGAAGACTTGGGGGACTCCTGTTGGTATCATATATTGGGTCTCGTCTTTGGGCCTTATCCCTAAGCCCATGATTTATGTAAAAGGGGAAGGAGCTCTTATTCTATAAAAGGGACTCTCCCTCACCCTCATAAACGGAACCTGACCTTCACAGAAGGACATAGAGTCTCACACTCAACCTTCACAACAATAGAGGGAAATACCATCTCAGCCAAACAAAGAGCAAAATGGCAAGGGCTGCATCCACAAAGAGCTCCCTTGCCAATCTATTGTAATTTATACATTCATTTAGTGAATCAAAATTAACATCATTGTGGATGTAGCCCAAACATTGGGGTGAACCATGATACATCTTTGTGTTCTTGTGCGTTTGTGTGATTCACGGCCGGATTTACGTTGGTCCAAGATTCTCCAGATTTTGTGCATCAACGAATGTCATGGATGATTTTCTGGATATCTTCAGTTTGAGAGACAACGGACTTGGAATCCACCATTTTGTAGTCCAAAAATGTGCCCACGACAAATTTCTTTGAACCAGCATACTCTATTTTTTTTCTCAAGTGATTCCCAAAGTTCCTTAGCTGTTTTGCATACCATATAGACATCATACAACGAATCATCTAATGCATTGAGAATATAGTTTCTGTAGAGGAAATCATTATGATTCCAGGCATCTATGGCCGTCAAAGTTTCTGCAGAAAAAATATTTTCTCCATCTGCAGTAGGCACAGTCTTGAACAGAACATTAGCCAAACTCAGTGTTGTCAAATAAAACAACATCTTCTGCTGCCATCTTTTGAAATCTCCGCCCTTAAATTTCTCAGGCTTCTCAGAATGAGGTTTAGTTCTTGATTGTTCCATACTGTTCGAAGATTGTTGGAGAACAATTCAGAAATAAATAAAAATAATAGAAATAACAGAACTTGAAATTCTTATACTTTATTAACTAAAAATACTTGCTATACAGAATGAAATTACAGGAAAAAAATACAAGAATTAAAATGGTACTAACTTGATTACAACAGGTAGAGGCTAGCGCAAAAGCTATATCCTTTGAACAGTATCAGGATACAGCTACCTAATTCTACAACCCACACTAGATTATAGAATTCTAGCAAATTGCTTTGTGTGTTTACTCTCTTAAATGTTTGTACGGAAGGGAAGGAAGAAGGAAAGATAATTTATGATGGAACTGAGGATTCCAGTTATATAGGTTCTTTCATACCTCTTCAAATACCTTTTGGATGTATCTGAAGCTATACAACTCTTTCCAAAGAGTTGTGTCTATTAATCAAAACGTTTTTAATTAATTTTAATTCTTATGCCCCAAGTGCCCCAATGCCTTGTCTTGATTAATTAATATTAATTAATATTAATATTATGGTATAATCATCAAGCCTAATCTACACAATTAGTGGCCCAAATCTCAATCTCTATTCCAAATGGTCCAACACATAATCACTAATAAACGAGACTAAAGTAATATAAGGACCTCAAGTTCCCTTGAGTTCCCCAATGTGGAACTTGAAGAAGCTCAAAACTCCAACACACTTTGGCAAGCAACAAGCATGAATGGTTTGTGGAGACATTTTTCAGTACAGCTGATTTAAAATTCATCTCGTAATGAAGTAATTGCTTGACAAAAAACCAACACTAATTATATAATATTTCAATAGCATCACCCACTAATTAAACTACAACGCACTACCGGCATTACCCCATGATGGAATCGTGTTCAATATAACGAATTCTGCCAAGTTAATGATGATTTTGTTAAAAAAGAAAAAAAGAAAAAAGAAATTAAAGAGACTTTAGACTTTTCGTTTAGCGTGAAAAGCATGACAGACGGGACAAAACTTAATCAGGAAGAGCGCTCACTTGACTTCAAGTCTTCTACGTTGATGTTTTACCGCTGCTCGGGACGACAATTCTAAATGTGTTTCCGCAGTGTCATTATCAGATACACTAATCCTGGTCGTTTTTGTTCTTTCTTTTTCTATTCGTTCACATTAGTTATTAATTATATCGTTGAAAAAAATAAGCAAAAAGACACGACATTGTAATTTGTGTATTTAAGTTTGCTATGGGAGACGCATATTTGACATACAATAAACCCAGAAAATAACAATTACATAGTCAGGATATGGGACTGCGATCGTCTTGGCGGTTTAATGTTTTCTCATTTCAATGTTTTATTTTTATGTTGCTCAATATTACCCAGTACTGTTTCTGTTTCTTACTTGTGCAGACACAAACCATAGCCCATGATGATGAGTGCTCTGCCTTGCTGCAATTCAAGGGTAGCTTTACGATAAGAAAATCTGCTTCTGATGAGCTTTTTGCATATCCAAAGACTGGATCTTGGATGCGAGAAGGAGATCAAAATCGGAGCAACTGTTGTTTGTGGGATGGTGTTGAGTGCCATGAGGAGTCTCGCCATGTCATTGGCCTTGACCTCAGGAGCAGCTTTCTTTATGGTTCTATCAATTCCAACAGCAGCCTCTTTCAACTCGTTCACTTACAGAGGCTTGACCTCGCAGATAATGACTTCAATTTCTCTCCAATACCATCACGTTTAGGTCATCATCTTACATGTTTGACGTACCTAAACCTCTCATATTCCGTATTTTCTGGCCAAATTCCAATCGAAATTTCAAAGCTATCAAAGTTGTCAACCCTTGATCTGTCTTCTAATAATGATTTGGAGCTTAAGAGAACCAACCTGAGAAGCCTAATCCAAAACTTCACCAGCATAAAAGAACTTGATCTCAGCGACGTGGGCATACATTCCACCGTTCCTGATATCCTGAGGAATGCAACTTCTCTCACAGTTCTCTCACTTAGGACATGTCAGTTGTATGGGGAATTCCCAATAGGTATTTTCCAGCCACCAAACTTAGAGGTACTTGATTTGTATGAAAACTTCAACCTAGCCGGTTATATTCCTACCTTTAACAAGACCAATTCCTTCAAGGTATTGGATGTTGCCGAGACGAGTTTCTATGGTCAGTTGCCTAATTCTATCGGAAACCTTCATTCCTTAAACACTTTGAGCATCTCATTTTGCAATTTTTATCCCCGTGTTCCATCTTCCCTCAGAAACCTTACACAGCTCACTTACCTTGACATTTCTTCATTCTACGACATTGACCATACTTATTCCAACAAAACAAGCCAATTAGTTCCGGATTCCTGGTCTTGGATCGGAAAGCTAATGAAACTTCATGTCTTGGGGCTTGCATATTCCAACTTATGGGGAAATTTTCCATACTTCGTGGCTAACCTAACGCAACTTGCATATCTAGACTTGAGCTTTAATGATATAAGTGGTGAAATCCCATCTTGTATTATGAATTTAACCCAATTGACTTATCTTGCCCTTTCCTCCAATAAGTTGAATGGAATAGTTGAGTTTGATCAGTTTTCTAAGCTCCGAAGCTTACTTCACTTCGATTATTAGGCAACCAGTTATCTCTGCTGATAAAACCCGATTTGAATGCTACTCTTCCAATGTTTAAACTTCTGTGGTTGGATTCCTGCAACTTAACAGAGTTTCCTGAGTTTTTAAAGAATCAGCACGAATTGTTTGATCTACACCTTTCTGCTAACAAAATTCATGGCCAAATACCAAAATGGTTCTGGAATGCAACTAGAGAAAATTTGGTGAATCTCGACCTCTCCTATAACTTCCTAACAGGATTTGACCAAAACTCGCTCAATATTCTTCCATGGAAAAATATGAAGTACTTTAATATTGAATATAACAGGTTAGAAGGATCACTGCCAGTTCTACCACAATCAATCGTAAGTTTTGACGCTGGAAACAATATTTATACTGGAGAAATTTCACCGTTGTTCTGCAACTTGAATTATCTCCGGCTTCTTGGTTTGTCCAACAACAACCTGAAAGGCATACTTCCACAATGTTTGGGGAACTCCAGTGCTATGGAAATATTGCACCTGCCCAACAACTCTTTTCACGGCAATATTCCTCAAATATGTGCAAACAGAAATAGTTTGAGAAAGGTTGATTTGAGTTACAACAAGTTGCAAGGGAAGCTGCCAAGATCAATGGCCAATTGCATTCAGTTAGAGTTTCTCAACCTTGGAAATAATCACATTAACGACATCTTCCCATCCTGGTTAGGGTCACTTCCAGTATTAAGGGCTCTTCTTTTGCGGTCTAATAGATTTCATGGAGAGATTGGGAAGCCTCCGACAAACCATGAGTTCCCAAACTTGTGCATCATTGATCTATCAAACAATGGTTTTTCCGGTATGTTGCCCTCTATTTACTTACAGAACTGGAATTTCATGAAGCTTGTTAACGAGACCAATCAAACTTATTTTGAAGTCTCTTCAACCCGAGGCTCAAGTGATATCTATTATATATTACCGTACTCGATGACGATTAATGCAAAAGGTGTTGAGTTAAAATATTTGGAGACACCTTATCTTTTGAGACTCATAGATCTTTCAAGTAATAGATTTGAAGGTGAGATTCCTGGTGTCATTGGGAATCTAACAGGGCTTCATTTGCTGAACCTCTCCAACAACATTCTCACTGGTCTCATTCCCTCATCTCTAGGGAACTTGACATCTCTGAATCATTGGATCTCTCTGAAAACCAGCTCTCAGGAAGGATCCCCAGCAATTTGGTACGACTCAATTTTCTTGCATATTTCAACGTATCCCACAACCGGCTATGGGGGCCTATACCACTCGGCCAACAATTTGGTACATTCCTAGAAGATTCATACCAAGAAAACTTGGGCTTGTGTGGAAAGCCCTTGTCAAATAAATGCAAGGATTCGAAGAGCACAAAGCTACCACCATCATCAATCTTTGAAGGAGAAGATTCGGGATTTCGATTTGAGTTTGATTAGTACGTGGTTCTGCCAGGAGTCATTAGTGGACTAATAGTTGGAGTGATTTCTGGGAACACTTTGGCAAACAAGAAGCATGAATGGTTTGTGCAGACATTTAGCAGGAAGAGACAGCTAAGAGGCAGAAAGGGAAGGAAGGGACGTCAGGCTTAAGTCATTATTTTATCCATGACATGTTTGGTTCTTCAAAACCCATTCAGCTTTCAGTGTAACTTTTTTTGTTCAATAAAATTTCCCTCATACTATGAAGTTTCCTTAAAAATGTCATTCTAACTTGTGATGCATGCTTGCTGTTTATTAGTGTAAAACATATATTTCTGAGAGTTGTATTATCTTTCTAACTGAGTAGTGAATGCCCTAAATTTTATTGCATCCATCCTCTTGCATTGCTGCCTTAGTTTACCACCATAAGGTTTTTAGCAACCTTAATGAGGAAGTTTCCTTTCTAAAAGTGCCTTTAATCCCACCCTAGACCTGAAATATAAAAAATTAAAATAATTTTCATAAATTAAATTTCAATTGTTGAAATGATCAAACATTAAATTTTAACGACATTCCCATTAAGTATTGATGATACAACGATTGAAGATTCATGACATAACAATCAGGTGACAAGTATATTGAAAACTAATCATAATTGAGATTTGAGAAATGATTATTATGGCAATTTGCCAAAACAAAAATTGAATGGCAAGGAAAACCTTAATCCCATGGCAAGAACAAGACCAGAGAAAACCTACAATCAGACCACAGATTCCATAATGGTTCACTTCTAGCTAAGTGAGCAGTTGGCCAAGTATTGATAACAATATTGAGTGAGAGGAATCAATGAACACCATTGATGAACACAGAGAAATGATTGATGAAGAATTCAGAGAAAGAGATAGAAAACGCTAGAGAGAAGTTAGAGAGAGAACAACAAAATTGAATGGTTTTTACATTAATTGCACATAGTGCTAAAACAACGGTACATATAGAACAATCCTAACTAACTTGCCTATGTGGCTTATCCAATACAACCATTTCTACTGTAATAACTTATCTCTCCATATACACCAATAGACTGTTGACACCTGTTATTACTCCCTCTCAATCTCAGCCGGGATTCCCTAATCTAAGATTGTGACAGTGCTTAATGAATAGAGGACTATGCAATCCCTTAATAAGTATATCAGCAACTTGAGACTCTGTTGGAACATAATCCACTGTTATATATCTCTTTTGAACCCTTTCCCTGACAAAGTGATAGTCAGTGCCAAGGTGTTTAATGCGAGAGTGAAAAACTGGATTGGAGGATAGTGCCAAGGTAGACAAATTATCACAATGCAAGGCTGGAGGACAAGTCAGTACATGGTGCAAGTCTTTTAGAATTGATCTGATCCAACAAACATCAGCAGTGCAATGAGCCAAAACCTTATACTCAGCTTCAGTTGAGCCTCTCGAAGCTGAAGCTTGTTTCTTCGATTACCATGAAATGGGATTGCTGCCAACATATACTACATACCCTGAAATAGATCTCCTTGTATTGATATCTGCAGCCTAATCTGTCACATCCCTGCCCAGGTCCCCACCACATCCCAGGCTCAATTCCACTATAGCACAATATTGTCTGCTTTGGGCCCCGACCACGCCCTCACGGTTTTGTTTCAGGGAACTCACACGAGAACTTCCCAATGGGTCATCCATTATGGGATTGCTCTCGCGTGAACTTGCTTAACTTCGGAGTTCCGATGGAACCTGAAGCCAGTGAGCTCCCAAAAGGCCTCGTGCTAGGTAGAGATAGGAATATACATATAAAGCTTACAGGATCCACTTCCCTAGGCAATATGGGATGTTACATTCCACCCCCCCTTAAGGGCCCGACGTCTTCATCGGCACACTTCCGGCCAGGGATTGGCTCTAATACCAAATTGTCACATCTCGGCCCAAGCCCCTACCACCTCCCAAGCTCAACTCCACCGTAGCACGATATTATCTGCTTTTGGCTTCAACCACGCCCTCACGATTTTGTTTCTAGGAACTCACACGAGAACTTCTCAGTGGGTCACCCATCATGGGATTGCTCTCATGCGAACTCGCTTAACTTTGGAGTTCCGATGGAACCCAAAGTTAGTGAGCTCCCAAAAGGCCTCGTGCTGGGTAGAGATGGAAATATACATATAAGGCTTACAGGATCCACTCCCCTGGGCAATGTGGGATGTTACACAATCAGTATCAGAGAATGCTGAAATATTGATGTCTTGAGATGGTATGTAGGTGATTCCATAATCTAGTGTACCCTGCAAATATCGAAGGATTCTTTTTACCAAAAAGAAATGTGCATTAGTTGGCTCAGTCATATACTGACATACAACATTCACATCATATGATATATCGAGCCTGGTAAATGTCAAATATTGTAGTGCTCCTACTATACTTCTGTATAAAGTTAGATCCTCCATATGTGTTTCTTCTATGACAAGTAATTGGGTATGAGGCCTTGATGGTGTTGGGGTGGGTTTACATTAGCTCAATCATGCCTTATCAATCAATTCCCTGGCATACTTTGACTGATTTATAAACAAACTACCATCTAATTTATATTGAATGTGGAGTCCTAGAAAATATGTCAATATCCCCATGTCTTTTAGATCAAACAGTTCTTCAAGCTGAGTAATGATTGACTGCACATTTGCTTTATTTGAACCAGTTAGAATTATATCATCTACATGCAGTAGTAAGATGATAATATCCTCACCATCATGCTTAATGAACAAGCTTGTATCAAATTGGGACATGGTGAAACCAACAGATGGCAAAACTCTAGTAAATTTTGCATTTCAGGCCCTTGGAGCTTGTTTAAGCCCATAAAACGACTTAACCAACTTGCAGACATAATTAAGATACTTTGAATCGATAAAACCATGTGGTTGCTTCATATAAATCTTTTCTTGAAGCTCTCCATGTAGAAAAAGCATTCTTTATATCCAGTTGTCTTAGATCCCATTTGTGATAGGTTGTCAAAGCCAATATCAATCTAACTGTGGTATGGAGAACTAGTGGACTAAATGTTTCTGAGTAATCAATACCATGCTCTTGAGTGAATCCCTGAGCTACCAATCTTGCCTTATATCGTGCTACACTTCCATCAGGACTCCTCTTTATCTTATACACCCACTTGTTGCCAATTATGGATCGATTGGATGGTGGAGGGACAAGGTTTCAAGTCCCTTGATTTTTTAATGCATCAAACTCTTCTTGCATTGCCTATTGCCATTTAGAATTGGATGTCATAGCTCGAAATGTTTTTGGTTCATCACAATCATGAATATCAGCAATGAATGAAAATCCAACAAAATCATTATCACAAGTATCCTCAATGTGTAATCACTGAAGTTCTGAAATGGAAGCAAGATAAGCAGCATAATTTTTTCTTTCAATAAACCCTGTCTTTAACCTTGTTTGCATAAGGTGTGAATTAATTCAGATTGGTTCTTGAATAAAATCAGAGACTAAAGAAGCACTAAAAGTGAATGGAATGATTGCATGTAGCTGGTCAGGATTGAAGACATGCAACAAAGGTTGAATTTGATCTTGACCTTGAGAAGGAGCCTGAGAATTCGAGGTTTCAGATCCCTGTGAATGTTCTGTCACTTGTTGATTTGGTGTAGCACCATTACCATTCTCAGAAGAATTATACATTGGAGCTTGTGTAAACCGTCTACATGAAGAACTGGAAGTTGAGCCTAAACCACTCCGAGATTCATGTACTGAAATAGGAATGTGACTTATAGACTGTGTTTCAGTTGGCAAGGTTTGATGTGTTCTGGAAACATAAGTAACATTGACTACAATTAGAGAGTTGGGCACTGTTGATACCTTACTTATCCTTTATGTGATCTTATAGCTACCAATTTTGGCTGGAAAAATAGATGCATCATGTAAAACATGTTTGGAAATGACCAACCTTTTTTATTCCAAATTGTAACAAATAACATCCTTATAACCAGAGGCATAACCAAGAAATAAACTCACAGATGTTCTAGGTTGAAGTTTGGAATCATTGTAATGCCTCAAATATAGATAGACTGCTGACCTAAAGATCTTGAGATCATGCAACTGTGGTGGTTTATTAAACAATGCATAATAAGGGGAAAATATTTGCAAAGTTCTAGTTGGCATTCTATTGATCAAATACATTGCATGAGCACAAGCATAGTACCAAAATTCTTGAGGTAACCCAACAGCATTCATTAAGGTTATAGCAGTTTCAATTATATGTCTATACTTCCTCTCAACTAAACCATTTTGTTAAGGTGTGTAGGGATAAGAAATTCTGTGAACCATTCCTTTTGAAGCAACAAATTCCTTAAACACTTTACTGATAAACTCACCACCCCCATCAGATTGCATACTTTTGATCTTAATACCAAATTGTATCTCAACAAAATTATAAAAGTTGGAAAAACTTCAGATTTATTAAATAGTGAAAAAATCTATACATGTTGAGTACAATCATCCACAAAGGTAACATAAACCTATATCCCTCAATTGATCTAATAGATGTTGGCCCTTAAACATCCATATGAACTCTATCAAAAGGAACAATACATCTCACAGAGTCATTAGAAAAAGGTTTCTTAGCTATTTTCCCACGAATACAAGCAATACACATCCTATGCACATCATTTATAGCATGAGATATTTGTGACTTAGCTAACATAACAGATAATACTTCATTTGTTGGATGCCCCAGTTTGTGATGTCACACTGAATATTTCACCAACTGTCCAATAAAAGTTGTTGAAGATGAAAAAGTTGATGCATGGATCTGAAATAATTCTCCAGGCTTAATTCTTCCTTGGTACAAGATTTGCTTTGTTGCCTTGTCCTGGACAAAGAACATTGTGTCATCACAAATAAACCAACATTTATTATCTTTACATAGTTGAGTAACTGATAAAAGATTAATTGCTATTGAATGAACATGTAACACTTGTTTCAGTATTAAAGAACTGAATGGGGTTTTTATCATAGTATTGCCAATGTTATTAATCAACAATCCTTGACCATTCCCAATTTTATTGTTTCTGCACCTTCAAAGGGAATAACATTGTTCAAATGTGCAATGTCAGAGGTCATATGATGGGATGCTCCAGTATCAAAAATCCATGTTTGAGAATTCTGTGAAGAGACATTAGTAGGATTGTTTTGAGTAGTCATATCAGAACCTTGATGAGAAGCTTGACCATGATCATATGTACTTGAATATGTTGTATACATTGCAGAGCCTGGAACTTGATGAGAATAATGTTCCATGAAAGGAGCAGATGCATAAGAACTACCTTGTTGCTGAGGAATTGGACCAAAAGAAATTGAAGGCATAGATGAGGATGTAGTGAATGTTGGTGCCTGGGAAATAAGTGGTCCAGTAGGTTGATATGCATAATTTCCCCTATGATAACACTCAAGGGCAGTGTGCCCACGTTTTCCACATATCTGACACTCAATGAAGAATCCAGTATTAGGTGTTTGAGAAGCTCAGAAGAAACAATTTGAAGCTGCATGACCTCTTCTTTGACATATTTGACACTCAGGATGCAAAGTTATCATTGACTTGGTATTTCCAGACCATTTGTTGTTTTGCATGTATCCATTAGATCCTCAACCTCTGTAATTTGATCTATATCCTCCATTATTCCTCTATTGACCTCCATTGTATGGCCTTTGTTGTTGTTGTTGTCCACCAGATAATTGATTATATGCTAGTTCAATGTTATTACTTCTAACAAAACCAGTTCCACAGCCAAAATTAGAAACAGGGAAATAAGGAACAATTCCAGGTGGCTGAGAAGTAAAATTAGGTGGCTGAGAAGCAAAACCAGGTGGCTGAAAACCATATGGAACCTGAGGCACAACTATAATCCTACCTCCAGTACTAGATTCCACATCAGATAAGTTAGAACTTGAAGCACCATTACTAAACTGAGAACTACCAGAAGAACTAGATGATGCACCATTCATATACAATGCTGACATGCCATGACATAAGGTATTAATACTGACTTCATTTTCTCTTTTAGCACCGAGTAGTAAAGCCCAAAACTCTTTCATCAAAATAGCAGTATCCCTTGCCAATATCACAATCCTTATAGTCGCATATTCATTTGGCAAACTAGCTATAATGGCATCATTATCTGTAAGAAACTCTCATGCTGCAATCAATTGATCTCTAATACACTTCAACCTTAAAAGATACTTATCCATTAAATCTCCACCCTTCTTAATTGTATGTAACTCAGTTTTTTAGATGATTAACACCAGTTTTGGACATAGAAGCAAATCTTTCCTCAAGATTAGACCAAGCATCTATAGTAGTTCTACAACCAATAACACGTTTAATTGCATCATCACAGAGAGTAGCAATCAATAGACTTAACAAAGCCAAATCCAAAGATTCCCACTCTTGATAATCTTTAGAAACATCTTTAGTCACTCCATTTTCAGCACTAACAGTAAATTTAGGTGGACAATCCACAGATCCATCAAAATGGCCAAACAATTTGTAGCCTTTCAAGACAAACTTAAACTGAAAATCCCACTTAATATAATTGCTATCACTCAGCTTTATAGTGAGCATGCCCAACAAACCTTCAATTTTCACAATAGACGAAACTATGATATCAATCTTAGCAAGAAAACTAAATGTTCAAATGTTTCACAAGAAACATAGGCTATGATCTTCAAATTTCAACTAATCACAACATAAATGGCAACATAAATGGGTAGCATCGGCTTTCCACACCCTTAGAAATCAGAATCTTGACTAAGCACAAAAAGCAATTTGCATCGGCCTTGTTGAAATTCAGAGAAAGAGAAAGAGAGAAAACGCTAGAGAGAATAACAAAACTGAATGGTTTTTTCATTAATTGCACATAGTGCTAAACCAACGGTACATATAGAACAATCCTAACTAACTTGCCTATGTGGCTTATCCAATACAACCATTTCTACTGTAACAACCTTATCTCTTCATATATACCAATAGACTGTTGACACCTGTTATTAAGTATGTCATCTAATGCACTGATTTTAGAACCATGGCATCATTGGCTGTAAATTCATTGTTTGTTTTCCAAGACTTTTTCTGTTTACCTTTTCTCTGTTGGTTGTTGTTTGGATCGATTGTTTCCAAGTTTTTATCACTATGTGTTTGGGCAAAGAAACGTTTAGTTTATTCTTCTTGACTTTATTCTTAACCCCAAGCAATTATATCACATAAAAAGAGAGATTGTTGTTATATTAAAAACAAATGGATACTCCTACGATTTTGATCCTAAAATTCATATATTAATGACGTACAAATGTGAAGCCATTTCCAATATAGAACTCATACTCCACACAGTATATTTTTACATATGGAACAAAAAGTTATTGGGTTTTCATCTTTTCTCTCCCAAATATGCACATACTCAAGTTAAAACTCAAATTTGGATATGAAGTTTAAATATTATATTTAGAGAAGGAAAAATTTATAATTTGTATCACATTGGCGCAGCAACCAGGGCGACTGCCCAGAGTCCCAAAACGTCGAGGGTACAAAGATAAATTGGGAAAACTTGGAGGAGCTTGATGGCACCGATGGATGGTTTGGATAAGTGTTTTTGTATAAAACTTAGTCATGCGGATATTTTTTTTTCTCTTTTACCGTCCTTTTACAAGTATGTGGCTTCATAAGAAATGTCATATTTTTGTATCTCTAACAATGAATGGACTTTAAAATTTTCAGAAAGAACCGGATACCACATATATTTTTTTTCACCACATATATGTTAATGTAGTTACTCATTTTTTTCTTGTGTAAGAAAGAAACTTACCCTAAATCCTTAACATTGAAACATAACATCTTAGTGGAATTATACTATGACACCTCCTTTAGCGTTGCCATGGGCTTCAAAGAGCTGGTTTATAATCTCAATAGAATCATCACGTGACATGCATGCATTTGTTATTTTTAATAACACCCAAAAAAACGGAAGATGAGAGGGAGGGACATATTCTAGTTGAGAAGGATTTTCACACCCTTAATTTTTTACATACACACCTACATCTATTTTTAGTCTTTGAATTGAATAAATTAAAGAGAATTAAAGAACAAAAACTAACATAAACGTGAAAAGAAAAAAAAATGGGGTGTAGATTTCATTTTCATTCCAATTAAGTTTCCAACTACGATATGATCAACTTGTTCATAGAGCTGAGTGCCAATGCATGATTTGATCAAATGGTAGGAGGAAACCTATCTTCTAATAATAGTATACATGTTGACCTATTTATGTGGCACATACTTTACAAACAACATAGTACAAATGACAGTGTTCAGGGGAGTGAGTGAAAACTGTGAAAATTTTCATGTGCTTTACAGGTTTGATCTGCTTGTAGTTTTGCAATTATGTATCAAATTCTTTCTTCACTGCAAAAGAATAGAAAACAGTGCTCTCTCTTTCAAGTGAGTCCAGCAAACAAGTCCAACACAATACAAAACAACTCCCCATGACACACACTCACTCACACTCAGCTCTCTGAATTGCAGGAAATTGTGTGGGGTTATAAAATCTAATGTCAAATCTCAAAGCCTTTTATTTTATAGATTTTTTTTCTGTAATTTGTTATATGCTTTTTGTCTACGAGGACTTGGGTGTTTCCTTTCTGAGCCAAATTCCAAGCTCATGAGGACAAGCAGATAGTTGCTACCTCGTCATCATCTAAAAAGTCTTCTATTGCTGTGGTTGGTATCCAACGCCCTCGTCTCAATTATTTTCTTGCAGAGGAAATTAACTTGTAAACACATCCTCCTATGTGATATAATATCACTTTCTGTGTTCCTTGGAAGAAGAAGAAGAAGAAACCCATCATCTGATCTGATGCAGCATGCCGTTCCTATTTACCTTTCCAATTGGCCTCCACCACTTAATAAGTAAATCACAATTTAGTGAGAGTAGATTATTATTTTTTTTTTTTTTTTTTACAACTACGAAACATATACATCTTGTTAAGATAATGTTACCATCAGTCGTATGTCGTCGCACTTATTTTGACGAATACTACAAAGTAAAATTAGGGTTCTCACACCATCTACAAAACCCTAGCCACTACCCTACTTACTCTATGGTCCGCAAGCTAGGTTAAAGTAGACGAACACACACAGCGAAGCAATAACCATAGACTTACACTGCTGCACACACAATAACAAATATAAAATCAACAAAAACAACAAACAACAAATCTAGGTACTTAACCCCAAAAAACAATATTCAGCATTGTTTCCAGTTATTTGTGCCTTGGAACTTTTCCTTTGGCCTTTTCTCTCTTCCCTCGATACCCACACTAGACATTTACACTACGTACCCCAACCTTCCCACTCCAGCCCAAAGCTTCAACTCCTTTTCTTAATTAATTAAACTTAATTTCTTTTATTTAATTAATTAAAGTTTCTCGTCAACCAAAAAATATAGCCAAGAGTACTATTAGGGAGGGACGGACACCAAACACATTCACCCAATTTATATGTGCATTGTGATTAGTAAGTAAACTATCAACATGTATACTGATACATTATTTAGTTAACATATTTGATGACTCAAAATATTATTGCTTAGCTAAATATTTTTTTTTTTTACATGCTATCGATAGTATTAATTTACAATATCTCATGCATGGATATTGACCAGTATTGACGATATGTTGATCAAACAACCTCAACCCTAAAAACCAAAAGAAAACTCTCTCTCTCTCTCTCATGCGCAACTCAAAACCCCTTAACGGCTACAAACTACACCCATTTCATGCACAGGCCTATATAAATATATAAACCCTTTAGTCTCTCATCACTTATTCTCCTCTCTCTCTGGTGCAAGTGTAGTTTGCATCACCTAGCTAGTTAGCGCCACTATATAACACCACCAAAAACCACCATGGATCAAAACCAAAACACATCATCACGAGAAAGTAAAGAGAAAAGATCCAAGTTCTTCATCAACGACCACATTGACATCCTCGTCGAAATCCTCAAACGCCTCGATGGCCCCTCCCTTGGCGTCGCCGCCTGCGTCTGCCGCCTCTGGTCCACCGTCGCCCGCAACGACTCCCTCTGGGAGCATCTATGCTTCCGCCACGTCTCATCTCCCCCTTCTTCCTCCGTGAAACCCGTCGTCGTTGCCCTCGGCGGCTACAAGAGGCTCTACAGGGTCTGCGTCCGCCCTGTTCTGAGTCGACTCAGCGACTCGGACATGGTCAGAAGAGTCTGGACTCGGGACGAGGTTCAGCTCTCTCTGTCTCTGTTCTGCGTTGATTACTACGAGAGAAGCGGGAGGCTCAGCGGCGGAGGTGGCGGGGATGCGTCCGCATCTTCTCTCATGTTCCTCTGCAACACCGTGAATGTGTGATTCGTTGACTTTAGAGCACTTTTGACTGTAGTGGGTCCCGGTGAGAGTAACAATAGTATACATATCGATTTTATTTATAAAAAAAATGATGATTTTTTATATTTTTACTACTAGGGTTACTAAATAATTGTGACGATTTATTATTTTGGAAGGGAAAAAGGTAAGAAGGTAGAACCAACTTATTTAGTTTATTTTATTTTTTAATTCTTAATTTTTGGCATCGGTAGTACCTAATTCCTATGTTTAATAATAAGTTTCTTGTAATTTTATTATAACAAATTGGTATATTTGCTTCTGATTTATTTTTAAATAAATTGGGACTCAGAATCTTTGGGAGGCTAAGCACGTCTAGACAAAAAAAAGTGGGTAGTGCCAAAATTTAGTGGATCCTCTTTTCCTTTTGTTTCTACTGGCAAGGAGATTCCCAATCAAATGCACTCCAAATGAAAACGATTGTTCCTTATTTTATTTTAGTTAAGGAAAACTAATGAAAATAGATTGAAAATTTTGAGTTTTAACGATAATGATAAAATAAATAGTAAAGTGAATAGTATTATTATTAACTTTTTAGTATAAAAATGTGTTTTTTTTTGTTAAAATAAATATTACCATAAACTTTTCGTTAAAATTTCTTTTTATTTAGGGAGTTTTAACGAAAAGCCCACGGTACTGTTCACTTTAACGAAAAACCACATTTTTACACTAAAAAGTTAAACATGATACTATTCATTTTACCATTTATTTTATCCTTATCATTAAAACTCAAAGTTTTCAAACCATTTTAATTAGTTTTCCTTTTTATTTATGATACTTTATCAAATATTAAGTCACTGGAGTCAGCACAATAGTAAGAGTAAGTAGAGCGATAAGTAAGAATAGTTATTTATGGTTCGAAACCGTCCAATACAATCGCAAAAACCCTAGTTGTGCAACGGCATGCTAGAAAGTGCTGAAGCCCCTTTGACTTGAAAAGACAAGCTTGTGAGAAAACGTTATGTTTGGCATGGTAGGCCACAAAGAACCAATTCTTCTCCCAATAGCAAATTAGCAATTCAGCGATCAATTGTTTTAGAGTCTGTGTCCGTTGTAAAGTGAGATATGGGCCACAAAACCGGTGATTGAGACTGAACAAACCTAATCTACTGGGTGGTCCAACAAATATGTGATCATTGACTCATGATGTTTCATTTTCCTTACTTTAACACCCTTCTCACTCCAATTTCCGACCAGCCCTCCTTTACCTCATTTCCAAATCCCTAGATGGCTTAATGCATTTAAATCTGCTAGTCATGGGCGAGTCATGTGGGGTTCGTAGCAGTGTGATCGTAACACTGTCATGTTTGTAGAGAAAAACGTAGGTTATAAATCGAATGATCAGCAAGTTAATCAGTAAAATGATATTAGATTTTTTATTGTGTAAACTTCTAGTAATTAATAATCATATAATCACATGGTAATCTCAAAGTAGTTTAGAATTCTCAACTCGAGTTTGAATTCCACAAACGCATTTTTCGGAGATATTGGTTTTGCTTTGGTGTACTATTTGACCTGAATGGCCAAAAGTATGCTACCTCTGCATGTGCGACTGGAGCTACATAAGAAAATAGATTAATCTACTATCAATATATCATAGAACACCTCTTATAGGAACGGCACATCGTTAAACTGTTGATGTGCTTCTCAATATTAGATATATTTTTTGATATTAAATAGTCGAACTAGCCAGCTACTTGGTCTAAACCAAATTTGTCTCAATGTTGTGTTACTAATGTTGTACCCATCTAATGAAAGAATAGGGCCTTTGGTATGGTTAATGAGCTATATAATGATCATCCATGGAAAGTAAAAATCCAAAAAAATTAAACCTCTTTTTTTTGGTGGGGTGGGGGGTAGGCTTCGGATCTTTTCCTCCAAAACTTACAGATCAATTTATTCGGGCCTTTGAAATTTGATCCAAATGCCAAACACAAAGAAGTTAGTAAAAACTTTTAAAAGTTATAATAATTTTTTGTCGTTAGATCAAATTTCAAAGACCCGGATCATTTGATAGGAAAGAGATCTTCTCCGGATCCCTTCCACAAAGTCCACCAAAGCAACAAATCTGAGCATTTGCCTGTTTGTAACCGTTTGATCAAATTTCAAAAGTCCAGATTTGTGATCTTGATGGATTTAATGAAAAAGAATCTGTTACGGTGTGTTTGATGAAAAGGGATCTGTTACGGTTTTTTTGGGGGGGGGGGGTGGTAAGAAGATAGTATATCATTTTACAAGGTTGCGTATCTGTCCTAAAAGATTTCAATTTAATACCAGACAAAATTTATGGGGCAAAAGAAGAAGAATAAATATCAATTGAAAAAAAAAAGGAAAAAGAAAAAAGCACCAGACAAACTGTGGTGTGGTGTGGTCCCATCCGTAGTATAAATAAATTTTGCTTTAGGATATTTTTTTTTTCAAATGTTAAGATTTTATTAGATTAGGTATTAGATTATTAGCCATTGATGGTGTTAGAAATTACGTCATTATGTAAGAGTTCAACACTTTTTTATTACTGTGATAAAAAGTCACTTGCAATTTTGATCTAGAATATTGATAACTACTATTGTGGAATTACAGTCAAGACCTCTACTCAATTCATGCATATTAACTCATTTTCAATAATTCACTATTGAATTTTTACATTTTTACTATCTTAAGATAACTCGAGAGAGAGAGAGAGTCAAAATTATTGTTATCTGTAGTAGAATTCCAATTTTGACCCAACATGTAAGGTAAAGGTGGTGATGTTGAAGTAGTATATGTCACATCCACAAAAGGGTTCAGCACATATGAATTAGTTACATTATTCTTGAAAACAATCTTGCTCAAATAGGAGATCAAATTTTCCGCACTCAAAATGAGTGTAGTTTTTATGTTGTTCCAATTAATAACTGATACGTGTTTATAAATTTAATTTTTCTTAATTTTATTGTCATAAATTTAATATGTACCAAATATCAATTGGTGCTACAACTATGTCACACCAATTTTGGATGCAAAAATTTTGATCTCACCAAAGAGCCAAGTAAAAAAAGAATCATATATGAATTGTTACGTCAACGTTACAAAGAGTTACTTGATATGCTAACTAACATGATATGTGTTAGCTAGTCTAAAAATTAAAAAAAACCATGATATGTGATAGGTGTGGATGCTATCAATAACTAATGAAACTCCAACAATGGAACGTGGTTAGGCATTTCTCCTTTTCAATACACCAAAAGTAACTACAATAAACTAAGGGGTGTGCTATCCACACACCCCTTTTTACTTCTCTTACACCCCTTGTTAATTTTTGTCATTTGATCTTCTTTAATTCATTCGATCCGATAGTCGAAAAATTAAAAGGGTGTGAGAAAAGTAAAAAAGGGTGTGTGGATATCATACCCTTAAACTAAATGTCGTTAGGGTCCAAAAAATATTTCGCTTAGAAGCCCAATTAGCTCAATCATTATATATTCATAGCAAATGAAGCTAAATTCATGCGTAGAGTGAAAAATAAATAAATCAACCAAAATTGTCCTTGAGATTATTATAACTCTTTTTTGGTCTCTGAGATTTGAAATCAATAGAAGTGGTCTCTGAGTTTGTTCACCATCAATTATTTTGGTTCTCAATGAAAAATCTCAATTAAATAAGGATAAAATAACAAAAATTTCCGAAATTTTTTATCAAATTATTTTGGCCCATTGTTTACTAAATTTGGGGTATTTTTAACATTTTAGTCATTACTTAACACAATTTTTTACAAATGACCAAAATGATTGATGGTGAACAAACTCATGGACTACTTCTAGGGGGAGGGGAGTTTGGCTAAGCCACACAATGGGCTTGGTATTGAGTTTGCTATCCACGAGATTCGAACCTAAGACATCTCACTCACAAGTGAAAGAAGAATATCACTATACCGTAGTACTGAGTAGCAAGAGAAGGGAAGACTTTAACAAAACAAGAAGAAGAGAGAAAACCAAGGTATTGTCCAATTAGGATTTTGAGGAATTCCCCCGTTGATAAATTGAAGCCTTCAACACGCTTAAATGGGGAGATGAACCAAGTAGAGCAAGCAATCTTAAAGTGCTGGAAAACCCTAAATCATGAGATTTAGCATTTCTTTCGTTCTGACCTTTGTCATAAGCCTCCCTTACCCTTTAACATTACCCTTCATTAGAAACCCTAATTAGCCACTTCAAAACCAGCAACCATCAACAATATCTCTCTCACATCAATTTAGTGGGCTTTCAGCTCTCACACCACGCATCATTCAAGTAAATTATAATTTGTTGTTATAATTATTCAATTATTGTTAATAAGAGTTGTTGAATTATCTGGAATATCTCCTAAGACACACTTTTCTTTCAAGGTATCTCAAGGCCTGATGCCGGAAACGAACTAGGGGAGTTAAGCGTCTTAAAGCCCAAGTTCTACTTGATCAAAAGGTCCCCAACAAATACTCATGGCTTTTTTATTTTTGTGGAATTAGGGAAGTCATGAATCGGGAAGAGAGAAAACGAATGGTTAAGAATTGTTAAGTATTTGATAACAGATTTTACTGTGTAACACACATTTGTTTAAAATGCAAGGAAATCAAGAACCAGAATAATCCAAATATCTCATTCCATGTAAGTAAACAATGTTGTTAGCGTCATAAACAATAATTGGTATTCTATGATTAAGGTTAAGGTAATTTTGACAAAAACCACCAAGGCGAAGCTAAACAACATACGCCAACCGAATATTTGATCTACATCACCACCGACTATGGATTGAAGCATCAATTAGAGAATGGGGTTAAATTGTTAGTTGTTAGGAGGCAGATAGATAGAAGTCGAACCTGCCCCAAGGTGCATAGGCATTATTATTTTTTGTCATTGCGGTGAAGTATATATACGTTCTAATAGTTGATTAACATAGTAATTAGAATTCAAATTTTGAGATTTTTTTTGTTATTTAGTACTACACATACAATGATGAATATCAACAACTTTACACAATTTTCATAGGAATAATGTTATTTACACATTTATTTTTACTTCCTGCACATCATTATTAATTTTTAACCGTTGACTTTCTTCAATTATAATCCAACGACCGAAAATTGAGGCGGGTTTGGGGAAAATAAAACTGCGTGTGTGGAAAAATTATTCTTGTCATGCAAAATCATTTATCAGGGATTTTAATCAAATGAAGCCATTACCAAATCTCAGCCAAATAAGTTGATTAAACAATTAGCTTAATCCAA